GGGGGGGGGGGGGGGGGGGGGGGGATCGTCAGACAGAGTATGCGCTGGGTGTAGGATCGGCGTCATGTGGGAGCATGTGCGAGGAAACGTCCCTGTATTCTTTTGTGGTACCTAGTCAGTACCACCGACAGGAAGAAGACAAGCGCTGCGACACAAACATGCCTCTGTGTGCGCTGAATGTTGCATCCCGTATGTTCTAGACGCCCACCTTTATCCACACATTTCTGTATGGACGCACAGGTCGAGGTCACAGAGGAGAACGCCACACCGGAGAGGAGTTCCTCTAATTTTCTCTGCCACTTTCGTTTGAGGGGCTTGCCTGGAATCAATGGCCAGATGGGTTCAGCCAGAACTACGTACACAGGAACTATTCCAACTTCGGCCACATTTGTTCAAGGGATACAGTACCGTGAGAAGAAAAAAACAATCGGGTGGCTGCGCCAAGGTTCGAACTCACGCGTGCAAGCGCCAGGTTCCAACATTACCACTGAACCGAGAGGTCGGGTCAATGGCTGAGGAAACATCAATTCCGAGTTCCCACCTCTTCGCTCGAAGGTTCCATCGTGAACCCGTTCAGTCCTGCCGGGGGCTCCGGCTGCGGCATGTACATCGTTGTCTCGAGATCCCTCAGGTTGACCACGGCCTTCCTAGCCTCCTCCATCGTTGGGTCCCACCGCTTATTCTTAGACACCTGAGAGACACGTGGTCCGGGGGGAGGGGGGAGAGCGGTGAACATTTCAACGTAAATGATCTTTGATGCTAGTGCAACATGAACAACAACGCCACGAGCAACCTAGTATAGCATGTAATGAAAACATGACGAGCGCGGGAACGTGAATCCACGCCTCCTCTTCAGCCACACAGGGCGGTGCATGCGAAAACACGCGCGCGGGAGGTGCCGGCGAAGGACCAAACCTCCTCCCACGCCGAATTCTCACGCCCTCGCAACGTGTCCGCAGGCCCGTGGCGAGAAGGAAAATCCCATGCTCGTATGAGGGAATTCGAGCATGCTATCCCAACAGCTCATCTTCCGCGAACCGGGGGCGGCGCAAAAAAGAAAAAAATGTCGTGTTCTCAGCACAGGTACGTCGTAGGGGTTTCATCGCAGCGTGCCTCACTTGTCCGCAACAACAAACAACCGATGGCGTGCGTCGATTCGATAGGTTGGCGATTTGGGTACCGGTGGGTAATCCCGTCCAACAGGATAACGGTGCACGCACCGTTTTGTTTGGGCTCTTGTCGAGGGTGGAGAGTGGCCTCAGAGCGTCCGGCTTCAGCAGGGCGAACTCATGCAACCCGAAGAACTCCACCACCGCGCCGTTTCTGTTGTTTCCCTTCGTTCCCTTCGCCTGTTGCGCCGCAACCGGCAAAACAAAGAAAAAGAAGAGGGAACAGTGAGCCGAAGATGTGGGAGGGCGGGCCGGGGCTTGGACGGGACCTACCGATAACCACGGCCCAAATGAGGTCCATATTTTGGGAGTGATTGCGCCAAGACCGGTGATCGATTAGGCCTATCGAAGGTCCTCGTGAAGCGCATGCAAAACGGCAATGAGGACACGGCAGGGACCGAGTCCTTCAGCAAAAAAAGACAGTGATAGATTTTCGCAGTACACCAGAAAACAAAAAAAAACACACTCACACCCACACCCATCCAGAAGCTTGGTCCTCTTACGAGGACCTCGATTCTTACGCGCCAACACTGACGTAAATTTCGTTGGCCGCCCGGTTTGGTCAAGGCGGTCGCGCCAAACTACCTATGAATAAATACACACAAACACTGACGTCTTTTCATTGGTCAGCCGGTTAGCGCGGCCGATGCTAAAATAAAAAAAAAACACACACGCACACACGCAGCAGTAGCGACACACACACACACACACCTGCTTCTCGAGCTCCTCCCGGAACGCCGGGGGCACCCTGCCCATGTTCACCTCCTTGAGGGCCGCCGTGGTGCCGCTTCCCCACAGCAACATGGCCGGCCAGAACGTGTTCTTCGCCTGCTTGGCCCAGACGAGCTTGTCCGGCCGCGCCCACACGGACGAGAACGGGGTGCCCCGCGCCGCGTTGGAGGCCACCAGAACCGTCGCCGGCGAGAGCGCGCCGTCGAGGGCCCGCCACGCCGCCGACACCACCGCGGCGGTCGCCACGGGGGGCGGCGCCGACGCCGGGTCCCGCTTCTCTCCGGCGGGAGCCGTCTCCGCCGCCAGCCAGGCGGCCTGTCGAGGGCCGAACAGCCAATCCGCGCAGGCGTCGCGCCCGGCCTTCTCGCCGGCGGTGGCGACGGCGGCGGCTGCTGCTCCGCCACCGCCGCCCGGACACGCCTCCTCCACCGGGGGGGGCTGGTTCGCCCGCAACCCCAGGGCCAGGCACGCCCGCTCCGCGAAAAGCCCGAGGGTCCACTCCTCGTTGCTCTCCTCCCCTTCCCCGGAGAGCATCGGCAGGATGTCCTCGGAGAACTCCCGCGACACCCCGTTCGCGCCGGGGCCGCCGGCAGCGAGAGCCGCCGCGCTCGCCGCCCGGACCGCATGCCGGGCCGCCTCGCGGAGGGGGCCCCGCAGCTGCGCCCGCCAGCATAGGCGGTACCTGGCGGTGCGGAGCGCGGCGCGTCGGCGGTGCGAGGTGGCCTGGCTCTCTCCAGGGTACGGCAGGTCGGATTCCGCCCACATTGATTCGAAAAGCGCCTGGCGCAGGAATGCAAGGACGGGAGGGCATGTACCTCAGGGAGTGAAATATCATAATAGTTTCGTTCAGCGAGCAAGCTTTTGACACAAGAAGGATGGTGCATGGCGGGCCTGTGTAGCATTGGTGCGAGAGCGACCGACCCAGTCGCCCCGAGAAATGTAGCCGTGTCACTGCGAAGCCCTTCCTGGTGTGTCCCATCTGTCGTACCACTTTCTACGCCAATGGGGAAGCAACCAAATGGCAACCAAGGCATGCGTACCCCCACAACGCGGGCCACCGCTTCCCTCACCCTCAGATGACGCGCGATGCCGACGAAGAGCTGACCACTGCACATGTTGAACCTCTCGCAGTTGGTGAAGATGCGGGCGATGTCGCGCCTCAGCCGGCCCGCGGAGTTGTCGTACGTGCCTCTCCTGACTCGCCTAGCCACCGTGGTGAGGTCGATGGGACGCCGCACCTCCACCGTGTATCTTTCCGCCAGCTGCGTTGCAAACACGAAAACACAAAGTTCTCTTCAGCGGGGTGACGTTGGGGGTTTCGAGACAGGGTCTCGGTACAGAGGACAACTTGTTTTGGACGGGGGGGGTAGGTCGAGGTCATCCTGGTAAAATCATTCCTAGCGACTTCGATTTGAGGCTCAAGCAACAGCAGTCAGTCGCTTCCGATGTCGTTCAGGAGACTGATTTCAGCCGTGAAGTGATGGGGCGATGTGACAAGGGTCCGTAAAAAAAAAAAAAACAACGACCTGCACGAAGTATTCATAGGTTACTGCGGCAGCCACGTCGTTCGCTGTTGGTAAGTCATGCACCGATCCTGGAAACAATCGGGACAAATATGGGGTGTTGTACGCCGCTTGTCTCTCCTACATAGAGCATGCAGTCTCTCCACAGCATGCAGAGAAGACAACAATAATTTGGGCTTTTGAGATTTTTGGTGCACGATGTAAACACTGGGGATTGCACAAGCCATCGATGAGGCATTCGGCGCCTTCCGCCTCCTGGGATCTTAACCACCGCACACGGTGAAATATCCCAAATTGAAATATCCTTACCCTTGTGCTACAGCCCAAACATGTAATATTCGGGGGGGGTGAGTACTGTCTACCCAAGGATTCATTCAGCCAGGTCAGGGTTCGATGGCGAATGGGGGATGGGATTCAACCACCCGGTCCCAGCAGCTGCTGTTCACACGCACTTGGGCGAAATGACAGGTTTCCAAAAATGCAAGGATTCGGATCGAGTGAGCATTTGAGTAGCACATGGAGTACCTTTCATCGCCGAAATGATCAGCACATGGAGTTTGTAGCAGAGCAGCGTATGAGATCCAATACTGCACAAGGGCAAACATCAGCGCAGAATTGCACACCTCACCGCCTTGTTGAAGGAGGAAAAATGCACGTGTGCTGAAACAAAAATAAGGTGCACGTAATCCTGGACACACCCTCTGTAACAAATTATATCGATGTGCTGCTCGGGAAGGGCAACGGACAGCAGTGTGTGGAAGTACTGCTGTGGACTATAATAGGCATTCAAAATCGTGTCATTTTTGGAGCAAAGTGCTTCCAAACAAAGGTTTGTTTCGAGTACCGCTGCTGCTGTTGGCTGCCCATACATGCATTGGCGTGACCAACGGGAGAGAGGGGACAGCCTTCCTTCAAGCACAGACATACGTACACCACATGACGATAACGCGAACGCATGAGTGAACGGGAAGCCCACGTACCAGAGCCCAGTATAGGTAGCACACCATGACAGAGTAACACTAGCCACGACACATGCACTGAAGTACATCAACTACAGTATAGTATTACGAGTATTATATCGAACAATAGTGAACGCACGTGTAAGCAGCAGCATCCTCACCTCGGGATGCAGCTGCACCACTGGCTTCCGAAACTCCTCGGAGAGCGGGCTGCCTGCCAGAAGACGCAAAATATCCATCGACCGCTCTCGCCCCCCCTCTCCCAGCCCCACCTCAGGCGGCCGGGCCTTCTTGACCTTGACCACCCTCCTCCTCCTCACCGGCCCATCCGCCGCCGCGCAAACCTTTGGTTTCTTCTTCTTTACCAACCTCGGTTTCTTTTTGGGAGTAGTGCGAGGTGCGCTGCTGCTCCCTCCGGGGGAGATCGTGGCCCCGGGCGACACGCTCGGAGATTTTGATTCGCGCGGCGGGGGAGTGGAGGCACCACCCTCGTCCTGCTGCTGCGCGCTGTTGTACGTCGCAATAGCAGCGGCAGCGCCACTACGATTCAAACTAGCTTCGTCCGCAACTGCTCCTCCACCTCCTCCCGCTGTTGCTGTTCCCTGGTCAGGGACAGAGAGCGTCAACCCGCCCGCCGGTGGCGGCGCGCCCACTATGGGAGAAAAGGGTGATGGACCTGGTGCAGGTGGCGTGGGTTGTTGAGCGGCCATTTCAACGTGGGGAGACAGAGCCCGCTCGCAAGCGTTACTGGAGTGTCCGGCAGCTGGGAGACGGGATGGGCTTGCGCTGCTACTGCTGCTGCTGCCTGCCGCGACAGTAGGCACCGCCGGCCCGTTGCTCGAGGCCAGGCCGTCGGCACGCCAGCCGGCTAAGTTCGAAGGAGCCGGCCAACTGGATTGTTGTTGTTGTTGCTGCTGCTGCTGCAGCAGCTGTTGGCGTGCCCAGTCCAACTCGGGCACTCCGCTAGTAGCAGTACCAGACGCAGCAGCAGCAGCAGCGTTTGAAAGGGGGAGCATCGACGAGACCTCGGAGGTTGACTCGCCGCGTACGGGCTCCGCGGTAAAGTGTGAGGCGTACATCGTCGACGCTGCTGATGCTGCACGTCAGCCTCTTCTCTCGATCTCTCTCTGATCTCCCTGCAGAACGAGAGCGAAGAAAAAACAGCCACCGGGCAGATGGTGGGGAGACATCACCTCGCCGCGACAGCGCTTTGTATCTCAACGAGCCGAGGCGCACAGATAGATCGCTACTCCTCGCTGCCGCGAGTGACTTGCACCCGGCGGGAAACAACAACAATACGCGAGGACGAGGGGCGATCTCTCCCGTCTCTCAAAGCGGCAAACCCAAAAAGACGGAAGCGCATACGAAGAGCCAACCAGCCAACCCCCAGAAATCAATTAACCCAGGTCCACGACCAACACACGCACACCACGCCTCTCTTCGCGCCAACGCACAAAAACACACCAACCACAGCGACGATCACCAGCGCCAAGCGCACACCCACCTCCGCTCTACTCTCTCGCCTCTGTCCAAGGCTCGGCGGTGCTGTCACCGCGGTCCACGCGCTTCCGAGATCCGGCCTTTCGCGGGAACTGGCCTGGTGCTATATGGCGTGAACCCGTCCAAAAGCACGGCATCTTGTCACAGGATGGTCGTTTTTTTTTTAGCACCTTCATCGGATGGGAGCTCTACCCATCTACGTTCGCCTGTGCTCTATACATCGCACCGCAATTTTTTTTCGCGAAAAGAAAAGACGGCACATCATCAGTAGATCCAATCCGTTCTCGGACCACATGTGTCTCTTGCAGTGACTACTGTTCTCCATTGTTTCAGCCCCTTGATCATGCTTACAGAGGACATAGACAGAGGGAAAGCCATCAGGGGACACCCGGCTCTCTGCCGGACACTTCTTTCTTTTAATGTCTCGGTCACAGCTCAATTGCTGCTCAGCCCCTCTTATGGGCGGCGCAGCGTCCCTCCGCTACTTCGTGTCCTCGGTGGCGACACAACGAACGGAAACCTGTAGGCCAGTCAGCGCCCAGGTTCAGAGCAAAAAAAAGTCGCTTTTCGAATAATCGAATAAATGCACACAGAGGACAAACGGCGGAGACCGGAACGAACGGGAGACATATGCTGTCTGCTCTACCCGCCGGGAAGGACATCATGAGGCGTACGCCCTCGAACCATGCTTTTCACCACTACGCTGTGCTTGTGGCTGGCCACAGCGGTCAGCTCCTACAACTGCAACGGTCGCCCCGATGGTCTAGTTGGTATCCTCGAAACCTTCTCTCTCCGGTCAGGTCAGGGGTTCGAATCCCGGCGTAAGCGAGCTTTTCTTGCAAAGTGACTTTTTCTCTCGCTTCCGCTCCTGGCCTCTTGGATAGCGCTAGTTCGTGTGTACACAGAGGGAAGAGAGTGCTGAACTCTTCTCGCATTAAAAATCGAAGGCAAAGTACCGCAGGAGGGGAGGGTAGAGAGGGGCCCTCCTGTGTGACCACGGGTTGGTGTAAACAGCACCAGTGCTGTGAGCGGTGACTTGAAGTGAAGACAAGAAACAAAAAAAACGATGCCTGTACATTCGCCGCGAATGGCTTATCATGCCCTGCGCGCGCCGTGCCGCGCGGTATGCAAATGCATTGTTCGTGAACTTCAATACAGCGCAAATGTGTCTCCCATCCTCTGTTTCTCTTCAAAAAAGAGCGACAGGGAGCGATGGGCTTTGCAAAGGTGCAGGCAAAAGATGCCTTGTACCTAATAAGGGCGAAAATCAGGACAGCAGGGTGCTGTGCAGCGTCACACACGTTTCCCTCGACTTGCCCGACTTTCCGAGCAGACACACAACCGAAAGAGATTGTGTTTTCTGGTCATACACTTCATACAGAGAGCATCGTCCTTGTGCTACCTACTGCTGTACTTTGCTCTTATTACGCCGTCTTATTCGTGGTGGGTGAGTATGCAGAAGGCGGGGCGGACATCTGATGGGTTCATCATGGTGGACTGGGGCGTGGAACCGGCTTTGGTCGAGATAACTCCCCAGTCAGTCACAGCAGTATCCCCAGTTCGAAACATCCGTATTCTGCCTGAGGACGTCATGATCTCAAAACGTTTGGACGCGTGGACGTCTGGGAATGAGTAGACTATGCTACACGAACTTCACTTGTGGTGTACAGCCAACAGACGTTTGGCTCTGCTTGAGACAAAAAGCACCTCCCAGCCAGCAACATCTGTATCCCCAATCGGGTATAGTGTCTGTTCCAAAGTAAGATATTCCGAGAAATGTTTTTGCACTTCTGTGCGTTGTAGAGTACCACCTCGCGCACGGCCATGCCCACGAGATATTGCTCGATGACGGCGGAGCAGCAGGGGGTGCAACTGATAGATGAACCGCTGCTACCCTGTCTTGACTGTTCGATGTCCAAGGGACAGGTGAAACCCGTCCAGAAGAGCACGAGCACACGCGCAGTTATGAAGTTATTTCGGGTGTATCTTGACTTGGGGGAAAAAAAGATGAAATCCAGGAGCATTGGTGGCAACTGGTACACACACACTGATCATCAGAGACGATTTCTCCCGTTGGACGCTTGTTTTCTTCTTGAAACACAAGTCTGACGCAGCGGTTGGGTTTGAGAAGTTCCTGGCGGACTACCGAACGAGAGGGGTTCCATGTGGTGTTTATAACACACGTACCGACGGCGGCGGCGAGTTCCAGGGGCAGTTTGCGGAAGTTTGCCGCAGACACGGTATCAAACAAGAGTTCACCCCCCCTCACACCCCAAAATACAACGGTGTAGCGGAGAGAGCGCTAGGGTTGATCACTGATGCCGCGCTTGCGTCACGCATCCAAGCGACGCAACTGTTCCCCAATGCACCGAACCACCCCGGGTTGTGGGCCGAGGCCATTTCGTGTGCATGCCATCATCAGCTCAATCAAGTGCACCGCCACTGAATCGAACGAGGGAGACAAATCCGCCTACGAGATGTTCCACGACTCCCCACAGCCTGTCGGGTCTACATACCCATTTCTCAAACCAGCCGTGTTCAAGTCGAGAAGAAAAGCAAAGTCGCAACCCAAGGGCGAAAAAGGATGGTACCTTGGTCCCGCCCACAATCACCCCCGTGACTGCGTTCGCATGCTAACCGAAGCTGGAACCGTAATCCCACCCGCAATTTCCCCTGGCGCCACGTGCCCGCTGCATCGCCCGCTCCCCCGCAGCTGCTACCTCTCGCAGATGACGAGGAGGGCGGGGAGGGCGAGAGCAGAGCGGATGCATCACGCCAAGGTTGGGGGGGGGAGAGAGACTCGAAGAGTGAGTCCGACCTCGACGTGATGGAGGCTCGTGGACCAGGGCAAGCGACGCCGTTTGTGCGCGAGGAGGCGCCGACGGCACCCGGCAACGGGATTCCGGGGGACGGAGGCAGCGTTCCCCCGTCGCCCCCTTCGGGAAGGGGCGACTTCAGCGGAGGCAGTGACAGCCCCACCGGCAGCAGCAGCAGCAGCAGCAGCAGCAGCAACAGCAGCAGCAGTGACGCCGGCGGTGCCGGCGGCCCGGGCGGCGAAGAGTCCGGCGACCCAGGTGGGGACGGCGTTAGCGATGGTGATCCCGGCGACTCCGAGAACCTCGAGGAGTTGAAGTATGATCCAGCCGACGCCCGCTACCCCCGCGGGCTAGAAGGGAAGAAACTCCTCTGGGGCGCCTCGAATGCTGGCCTGATAGTAAAGGCTTACCCATTAAACTACTCAGTCAGCGAAAGACTACTCAGTGAGCGAAAGGCTTACCCATTAGACTACTCAGTCAGCGCTGACTGAGTAGTCTAATGGGTAAGCCTATACTATCAAAGGATACACGCGCAGGTTCGAATCCGGTCTGATCACTTTACGAAAAGCACCATAGTTCTGTTCTCGGCAGCGCCTGGCGAGGGGTCCGTCCCCGGAGATCTCTACTCACAGCCCGGGATTCTACGAGCCGAGAGTGTATCTTTTGAAAGTAAAGGCTTACCCATTAGACTACTCAGTCAGCGCTGACTGAGTAGTCTAATGGGTAAGCCTATACTATCAAAGGATACACGCGCAGGTTCGAATCCGGTCTGATCACTTTACGAAAAGCACCATAGTTCTGTTCTCGGCAGCGCCTGGCGAGGGGTCCGTCCCCGGAGATCTCTACTCACAGCCCGGGATTCTACGAGCCGAGAGTGTATCTTTTGAAAGTAAAGGCTTACCCATTAAACTAACTCAGTCAGCGCTGACTAAGGGGTCTAATGGGTAAGCCTTTGTCTATCGTTACGATAGATAAAGGCTTACCCATTAGACCACTTACGATAGATAAAGACTTACCCATTAGACCACTTAGTCAGCGCTGACTGAGTTAGTTTAATGGGTAAGCCTTTACTTTCAAAAGATACACTCTCGGCTCGTAGAATCCCGGGCTGTGAGTAGAGATCTCCGGGGACGGACCCCTCGCCAG